AATAGCAAACAAGTAATTCAAACTTGAAATTTTGAGACTGCACATTGAATCCAAATACTGAATTTATTTCGAATATGTGACGGCGACGACTTTACACTGACTAAAGAATAGAGGTGTCAATGAAAACAAAAAATTACTTAGAGTGCGTACAATATATCCATGAAAAACTTTGTAAGAAATTGCACAAATTTTTAAAAATTGAGGTCAGGTAAGTGCAGTAAATGGCCGACCTGTAAAAAAATTTGGCCTAATTTGCAATTTTGTTAGTTAGTTTTTTCACCTATTATATATTTGGTATGCACTCTATAGTCTCTATAAGAAAAGATTATGTACTAGGTAGCCTTCAAATACACACATTTAGTTAAATTTATAATCAAAGAAAAAAGAGAAATAAAGAATAGCCCTCTATACAAATCTGAGGCGTAATGGTTACAGGCACTTTCGTATGATGGAGTTATTTTACTACAACTACCAGAATACTTTGCAAATTTTCTTTCTTATTCAAGATTTTATTCCAATTCAAAAGAAGTTATTCAATTGCAGAGCTAATTAACTGGGGGAAAGAGTGTGCAGGGGATTCTGGTAGTTTTAGCAAGTAGGGCCAGAAAACTTTTCTCGAAAAAAGACATGTTAGGCCTTAACTACCTTATAATATAACAATAATAATTATATAAACATATAGAAAATAAATGAAGCAGCCATAGGGAACTTATAGAAACAATTCTGAGTGTCTGTGAAATATTTTCCGAGTTCCCCGGTCTATTTTATGAAGTTTCTAGATAACGCGAAGAAGACTAGCCAGCTAGTCAATAGAACAGTGTCGAATTCCAAATTACTGCTGTGTTCCTTGATTACAGACTCATTTACACAGGGTTAGCCTCAAATCAGTGTCTAAATATCTACGAATACCAACAGTAAAGAATGCACAACTTCAACAATACAAACACTTTGGAACTCGATGGACCTTGCTTGAACACGTGAAAATTCTGCACAAAATCAATCAAGAAACGCAGCGGTAATTTAGAACTCGAAAATGGTCTATTCCAAAGCAGTCTATCTAAATCTAAATCTATTCATTTAATGATATATAACGCTTAGCCTCATTTGCAGGCATCCTTAAAGCAGTGTTACAATGGAGGCTGATCTAACGCTGTGATTGGTCGGTAGCTGTGACGTCATTATCATTTTTTGGTTGACCATTAATGGCATAAGTGCGCCATCTTTTGTCACTAAAATGCTTTTGAATCTTTCGAAAATTGCTGAAACCCACGCATGCGCAAATGTTTCCCCTAGTGTTTCCGCATTAGTCGTTTACGAATACAAAACTATTAGAGACTTATTAAGAAAAAAATTGTAAGTCTTTTAAAACTATTATCCCACGGATACAAAA